GGACAGTAAAGTATAGGAGATTAAGGAGAACACTAAAAAAGAAGCCTGTTTCCAGGGTTTCCCCATAAAGCATGATAAGTGAGCTAAAAACCACATCTCACTTTATGAGCTGACACTACATGGCTTTAGGATTAGAGCTTTAAAAATTTATAAAAATCCAAATTTGATCGAAATGAGCTCAAACTTTCAATGCAACATAAAAACATGTATATACGTATCAGGAAAAATTATAAAAATAAAGAACTCTCTACTTTTTATTTTTGGCAAAATTCGGCTCATGACCCTGTACTGTAACAGTACAGGGACTTTGGCCCAATTTTTGAGCAACTTTAAAAATTTGTAAAAAATCCAACTTTGATTGGAATTAGCTCAAACTTTCTACGCAACATAAGAACATGTATATATATAAGGAAAAAATATTAAAAAAAAAATTCTCTCCTTTTCATTTTGGCCAAACATGGTCCATTATTATACCAATACTACATACCGTATAGCGGGAAATTTTCGAGGATAACAAATTTCGAGAATTTCTTCATGATTCGCAAAATTAAATTCCTTGAAAATCAATTTAATACAATATAAGATGGCAGATTAGTGGAAATTCGTGAAAATTAATACCGCTAATTCCGGATATGGGTCATTTGCGAAATTTATTATCCTCGAAAAAAACCCGCTATATGGTATCATTAATTACCTGAATCCATCCATATCAGTACGACTATCACAGAAAGAAGTGCATCCATAAGGTGCTCCATCCAATGGCTCCTCCAACAATTCCTTCATATCAGTACGAACCACCTATTAATAACCATTAATAACCACCAATAACTATTAATAACACTTAATAATAACCATCAATAACCATTAATAACAAATAATAACTATTAACAACTATCAATAACTATCAATAACCATCAATAACTACTAATAACACTTAATAACTACTAATAACTGTATTGTTATGATTATAGTTAATTTGAACACTATGCATACACAATCCCTGTACATGCTCAGTTAAGTTATTGATTTGTGTTGTTAACTTTAATATAATCATCATGTTTGTCACTGAGCAGTAAATGCTTGTATACTATACTATATCCCAGTTGAGTTTGGGACAAGAAAAACTGGAATAACTTTTTATAGGAATGTGGGATAAGGATGAAACTTTCACAGGTTCTTAGTCACCAAAGTCCATCAAAATCTGTGAAACCTTGGGTCTCTTAACCCTTGGGAACCCTGAGAACCGGGTTCTCCCTATATACCAAATGGCATACCAAAGCTAACCACAATGACGTTTCATGATGTCATAGTTTACATAAGCACATGTAGTCGAGCGCCCAAACTGATAATTCTTCTTTTAAAAAGCTAATAGAGCAAGATTTTCTGATAATAATGGCCTTTATGAAAACTAGTTGACTCCAGCAGCTACTGTACTGCTTATCAGCAGCAGCAGACTGTTTTAAGAGTTAAACAACATAGCCAATACGTCATTTTGCGACGTAGATACATTTTTCAAATTCCACACAGCTGCTTCCACTTCTGTCCCAAACTGAACTGGGATATAGTATAGTAGCCGTGCCTTCTATCTTCAGCAATCGTAGCCTAGTTCAGTACAATCCAATATTACAATAACCATTGATAATTATTAATAACATTAATAACTACTTAAAACTATAACTACTAAGAATTTTATAACTACATTGTATACCTGATCGGCATCGACAAAAATTATTTTCTTAATATTTAATGGAAAAAGTACATCTAGAAATAATATCTTGTACCTAAAATAGTAATAATAATAATATTATTATTCATTAATTAATAATTATTATATACTCACGCCCAGATTAATCTTTGTTTTTCAGTTTGTCCATGAAGCCAGCATGGCCACTTGTACTGTACCAGCTCATACTCAAACCCATACCTCTCAGCCATCCTGGGAATGAAATCCTGAGAATGAAACAATTAATGATAATAGTAATAATATTCAATTAATTATTGATGTAGATGTACAAACATTTATAATTATTTATAGCTTTCCTTACTTTGAATTGTGGTGAAAAATAATTTTTTAGGAACCAAAACTTGGCTGGATTTTTAGTGTGTTTCAGAACGCTTAGCATCATAATCCTACACAATACAAACACTAATAACACTCCACTAGTAATACACTCATACACATACAGTACATGTAACTCTAATATTAAACTTAGTTTAACAAATCTCTCACAACCAACCAATATGTGTATGTACATGTACATTTATTGCTTTATATTAACTTTTTCTATTGGAAATTGTGACCATAATTGACAAAAGGTACCTTATGGTGGATAGGAAAATTGGTCTTTATAGCCTTAAAAATGCAACTTCCTGATCTCCATTAATCATGAAATTACTCCAGAGGATGCCAAAAGTTACTATGTAACTTTTAGAAATATAGGTTGTCCAACAGAGCACTCACAGATTGATATTTTTCATTATAATGATGAATTTAAAAATCCGCCAAAAGGTACCTTTTGTCAATTATGGTCACAATTACATGTACCTCTCTCTCTGTCTCTCTCCCTCAAACTTTTTAAAAATCACTCACAAATATAGCATAATGTCTGTCTCATTAATCTTTAGTTTTCTCTCCTTATCTCCACTCCTAACCTTAGGAATCTTTCATAAAGGTGTCCAGAAGCTATTGAGAATATATTAATAGTATCAGTGGTAGGGACTGTATCATTAGACCCAGTAATGATTGGAGCATCATCAGGTACAAAGAACCTGTACCACAATATTAATAAAATAAACATACACACACAACTAACTTTGAGATTGAGTCAATTATTCCACCATTTTGTTTAGGGGCGGAGCCAGTAGGTGTGGCTTGTTGA